ATCACCTTAAACGAAATAGGGTGAATACATCTCATATTACTGATTTACTGGTAGTCTCGAAAGTCTACTCAAACACGAAAAATTAGATTAAAATAAGCAAGGAAAAAATTGTGATAGTGAAGGTGTGATACGAGGATTTAGGATAGGTGAATAGCTGATGACACAAGGAGATATATCACAACTGTTTAGCACGCATTTGGTCAAGGGTTCGGCTTCATTTGTCTCTTTAACGAGTTGTAGTAAGGTGCTAATACTAACAAAACTCACTGACGAATCCGACTACGATGCCGGCGAAACGTCTGGGAATGTACTACGGTCCACGGTCAGACTTTGGAAATAATGATGCATACAATGGACTCCGGACTAGGTGTATTCCGTTAAGTTTTCCTACCAATATGACCAAGCTGCAAAATCAATGCTAAACAACTTCTATACAACGAACGGAGACTGCGATCACACTAAAGGCCACACCATCTTGGTCTTTATATCTTCAATATGCCACTTTTTTTAATGTTTTTTTATTCAGGTTAAGCCAGAAGGGTTACTGAAACTTAGATTGTAGCTCATGTTGTTTGCTTGTCTGCACTAATTGTGCGAATTATTCTGCCAGTTTCAATTTTTACAATTTATTTCCACACTTATCTCTGCTTACCTTAAATTTGGATATAATTTTAGCCACCTGGTACCGGAAAGTCATTTCTTGCCAAAGCGGTCGCAACGGAAGCGAACAATTCTACTTTCTTCTCCATATCCAGTTCCGATCTGATGAGCAAGTGGTTAGGTGAATCGGAAAAGTTGGTAAAAAATCTCTTTCAAATGGCTCGAGAGAACCGACCCAGTATTATATTTATTGACGAAATCGATTCACTTTGCGGATCTAGAGGTGAAAACGAATCCGAATCGGCTAGAAGGATCAAAACCGAGTTTCTTGTTCAAATGCAGGTAGGCATTTTGTTGTACTCTAAGATTTATCTAATTTTCTGATTTAGATATTTGTAATATTATAGTTTATAAAATATTTAAACATTATTTTCTTTTATCAGCTCCCTATGGTTTTGGGGCAACTATATTTTGTTATTTTGTCATCTATTTATATATAAACTAGCAGAACTTAATCTAACGTTGTACAGAGCTGGCTGAAATGAATTGGCTTGTTTTTATATTTACCGCCACTAATAACGCTTATGCTGATTATTTGCACTTAAGTAAATGGTAATTTGCGTTAGAATTTAAATTTATTTTCAATATAGAGATATTTTAACTTGTGGTTATATTCTTTTAAATTATTTTTCTGCAAATTATAGAAAAGTAGTTGAATTAATAAAAGAGCTTTGACCTTGTTTTCTTAGCTGTGTCTTGTCCTCATATCCTTTTGCCTTACTCTCCCACTTTTTAACCTGTCTACTCTGTGCTACTCCAGATATGTGCGGACTTAAGATATGCAATTGCACTTCATTTTGGTTTACCCTTTCGCTATTGCATATCGAAATTGTTAAACCTATTTGGTCCTTTTAGTCTGAAAGCTAATTATTTTAAATCCGTTCATGTTCTTAATCGGCCTTGAAGACCCGTTTCATATTTCACTGGTTCCTGCTATCTTATCCACTTCTGGAAGTGTTATTTCCCATGATATGCCCCAATAATTTGATTGTATTATATAATGGTCTCGT